TCAGATTCATAAAATTAGGGTTATTAACCATGCATATTAGGACTAGAGATAGACCGCAGAATCGACACATTTCTAAGTCAAGTAGTTGAAGGATCTACAGCATTTAGTCAAAGAGTTAAAAAAAATTAAAACAAAACGGAGATCACTGGATCAATGATCGTGAATATCCTAAATAATGAAATTATGATGAATAACCGTGTATATTAGGACAAGAGATAAATTTTAGAATCAAAACCTTAACATTATAGAGTACGGCCGTTAGTCGAATAAATTAGGGAAGAGATAGGCCGCAAAATTGTTGTTCTAGAATCCACAATACTAAATCAACTATGTACTGGAATGGTTTACAATATTCAGTCAAAGGTTTTAATTTAATTAAATGTCAATTAAATGAAGTACTTATATAAAGCTGTAAACTTTATCTGACATATATTAGAATAGTTAGATTTTATAATAAATATATAACGTATATAACGTAACGTATACCAGTTAATATTTGGCTATTGGTGTCTATTTCCAATATGTTTTAGCCATTCAGTTTTGTGGTACCTACAAATACGGTAATCATGCGATAAAGCGAATACACTCTCTACCAATATAGATATAATTAAATTGGAAGTTTATCAAGACATATAGGAAAGGATTATAGTTGCGAAAAAAAGAAAAAAGACCGTTTCCTCTTTAAGGATTATGCTCAATGTAGGTCGTAGTACAAAAACTTAAACAAAGCAATTAAATTGATGTTCCCGTTTACATATGCCTACCGAAGATTCCTTCTCAGTCAATCAAACAAGCTCTGACAAATCTTATAAATAAAATTTAAAAGTCCACTTTGACTACCCAGACTAATAATCAGTCAATGCTTAAGTATTTGTGTTCATTCAGTTGATTCATTCAATTTTTTAATGCAACTTAGTGGCTTTAATTTTTTAAATGCAATTCTAGAAAATTACTGACAAAATAAACTCAATAAACACTTACCAGAACAGTACAAATTTCGACGATTATGTGTGGCGTCAATCAATTTTTCATAGAAGGTTTGTAAATATCGAAGCCCTGCCAAAAAAAAAGGATCAAGGATTTTGTTTGTTTATTTGTCTATTTCACTAGACACACACTAGCAAGTGGCGGTGCAGTAAAGTGCATGGCATTAACTATTCCCATTACTGCAATTGCAATTACAACTGCAACTGCAACAACTTTTATTGCAATTTCGTTTAGCTTGGCCTGCATGAATGAACCTAGGTATGAGTATGTAGAACACAACAATTGTTCAGTGCACACCGACTGAGTTCACTAGACGAGTTGTAATCTACTTTCGAACGCAAATATACTAACTCCTCGAAAAAGCACATAGGATGTGACATACCACCCATACCCTGCCACTCAATACAAATGACAGTCATGCATCTATTTGGTTTTATGATTGTTTTGGTGCAACACGGGCGACTCGGGCGACACGGGCAACATCGACTGCCACTACGACAATGAGGATGATGTCGGCGATGACGACGTTTCCAATTGTAATCATTACAAATGCAGCGAGATTAATTTTTAATTTTTCAATCAATTCTAATTCAATTTAGTTCAATGAATAAATTCGCTTGTGTCTGTGAGTGTAGCTTCGAGTACATATCCATTCGTAGTACCGCATTCTGCTACCTATTGTGCTTTGATATCCTTTGTTGATATAACGCCAAAGTACGAAAAACCGTTCTAGCTAAAAACAAATTGAAATAAATTAATGCTTGTCGTCTGAGTGGAGGTATGAATGTAATGAAGTACCTAAGACTGTGATTTTACATGTACTCACATGTGTGCTCATATGTAGATGGGGAATGTAGGTAGCTATATAACTGAACAAATATGTTCTGGGAAAATTTTTCAATTCCTTCTTAAACAAATAAGTCACATCACTTAAATTACAAATCGATTACAAGTGAAGCAGTCTCTGTACAAAAAGTATTAAGCATTTTGTAGTGCTATGGTAATTCTATTAAAGTTACAAGAATGTGAAAATCATATTATTCTTATTATATTTGAAGTCCTTCAACACAGTTTCTTTATTGAGCATCTAATTCCAACTGTGATGGTTAAAGAATATTATTCAGAGAGAGGAATCAGAGTAATAATCTTTACTTTTCTTTCAAACTTCTTCAATAAAATTCAAACCTTTCGATTTTAAATTTGCTGAGAACTTTTAAGAAATCTCTACGTAACCTGATTTCAAATGGGTTACTGATACGTATGGCAACAGTAGAAGAAGTAACGTTGACCGTAATGACATCTTGGCAAAAAATCAACCAGAATTTTTTCTCGAATGATGTACATAATATATAATATATGAAATTCAACAAAAAATTCTTCTTCATGGCTAGCAGTACTTGAGGCTTTCATGTCAATTTTTGGCGCTGTGTGATGGATAAGTTTGTTTGCATCTTCTATTTTCGACGGGTAGATTATTTCCATAGAAAGCAACAAGTTTAGTATGCCTTCAGGAAACTGTTATTATTGTTTTGTTATTAAACATACACTTTATACAAAAAGAGTTAGAAAGCTTCTTCGCCAATGTTGCTATCGAGGTCCCTTAGAGTAGCTGGTTATTTTCTCTGAACTCCTCATAAGATAAAATTGTATTGAGACTGATATATATCAACTACATTTTGTTGATAGTCATACTGACAGTTTGATGAAGTATTCACCACGACTCAGAGTGACGGACTGGGTGTCAAAATATGACTTATTTAAGGAAAGGTTTACTGTTAAATGTAACCTTATTGTTGAATAGTTTTATTATTATTTTCATCATTATGAAATTAATTATGCTTTATTTTAATACCGTGGAAAGCCAAAATTATAATTCATCAATTTACTTACAAAGGCAAGAGGGTTTCCTTCTCTCCTTATTTGTCTTAATGAGGGCTCCCTAGCTGTAAGTTACTTCAACTAGCACCAACAAGTTAACTAGATGGATTTGTATGCCGTGGTAAATAATATATTGGCTCTGTATAGTTAATATATACAAGATTTCTTTTCACTTTTTGTGGAATTATTGAGCTTCCTTTTGTTCCCAGACATGTAGGCTGCTTAAATATTGCGGAACTAGGATTTCAATCCATTTCTTCTTTTCTCTTTGTCTTAAAGCGGTAAAGTAAGCTGTTGTGGTATTAAAAAAAATATATTATTTTTTGTGTAAGGAGCAGCTTCTCATACAGTATATATTTTAAAGAAAGAAGATATTACTTCCCAGAGAACTACTAGTTCTGCTAGTTATTTATTATTCAATTTGGGTTAAGGTATGAACATCCCTAGCATTATTTATTTTTTATCTAGCTAGAGCATGTAATCTTGAATTGGTTTTTTTACAGTTATCATATCCCCCTTATATGGATCATAGATCATAGATTATTTCATATTTAATAAATACATAGCTAACGCCATGACAAAACGTAAACTATATATGTGCACAACTTGAAGTAGTGAACCTGAACTTTTGGATTAATGGATGGTGTGATGAGTAAATATTACAAAATATTTTTTATGGCATCAAAAATTTCTACAGAAGTGTGAAGTTTTTTGGAGTTAACATTCAAATCGCCATGTTTCTGAGAGAGACGGATGATTAAGATTTACTAGAGCACACTTCTTAGTATATAGTATAGTCTTAAAACTCCTATTTGAAAATATATACATATATAGAATAAAATATGCATTATCATGCCACACGTCCTTGCTAAGCACTTAACAAAGTCACTTGTGGATAGACATAATTTGAGTATTTCCTGCCTAAATGTAATTACTTTAATTAAATGCATATGTATGATTGATATATATTCTAGTTCAGCGGAACATATTATTTTCTTTGCATCCTTAAGTAAATTTTGTAATATTTTTTGAATGAAGTGCAACAAAACTCAACTTTTCATGCTTGCAAATATTATCTGCGCTCCATTGCAATGTATAGAACCTTTAAAAGGCAATAGAGCCACTTTAAATTTTCGACTGAAGTTGTACAAATAGGAACTTCCTGATTTTCTATATTTCATATATCATACGAATACATAACAATTACATGCATTTTCCATCGCCTCTACTTCACTTCACCGCGTCTTGCACTGAAGCCTTTCGCACAGAAGTAAAAGTGCAGAAAAGTAAAAGTTTGTCTACACGAAGGCACTCAAAAATTCTGCCATTGACGCCAAAGTGGCTCCACGGAAAAGCTGAAAAACAGAATTTCGAAAAGGAAAAATGAAAGCTGAAATAAAATTAAAGAAAACATATCTGAAAATAGAAAAGACTGCATGTAAAGCAAAAGTACAAGTCAGCTTGAGTGGTTATTGTGCCAGGTCCTTGATGCCATTTCGAAACACCCAACTCGGATGCTCATGCACGTGCAGTTGCAGCAATTTACACACATGCTATGCAGGCACAAGGATACACAAGGATATATACGTCCATATACATTTTTTAATATACCATTTTTTCTTTGTTTCTTTCCTGTTGTATATTTGCTTTTCATATTTTCTGAAGTAAAGAATTCTAATTTAAGTTGCATACAAAAGAGCCTCTTCATTGTCAGCAGGACTAAAACTGTTGTTTTTACTGAGTGGATTTGTCTTCTAGAGCCTTTTGAAAAGTGTGTTACAGAAAGTGTCTATAATTTCATTTATTAAAAAAGATTACAAAATGAAGCCTACAGTTGAATTTTTAAAAAAAGAGTTAGCTCATATGCAGAAAATTGAATAAAACATATTACTATCTCATCCATAATATCATTTAAGAAATTCATTTAGGTATAAGAGCTTGTTATTTACACTAACACACTATATATAGAAACTCCTGTTCCTCAGCTTTATTTTTTGCACTAATCAAAATATAAACATGCCATGACATTAATAATATATCTTTTTTTATTTTATCCAAATAATTTTAAATCATAATAGGCTTAGTTTTTATAAAAAATCTGACTTAAAAATTTGAACCATTTCTTTAGCAAAAATAATTCCAAAAGTTACTGTCTCCTAAGATTAATCTCCATAAACAGTATGTGCTGTCGTGGTTATATATGTTGTCTTGACATGTTAAAGTCGGAGCCTTCCTCTGATTCTGAATCTGGTAAGTAAAGTTAAGGAGCCACACTACTGCACAGGAAAAGACAGAGTAAGTATTTAAAGGAGACGACTAAACACTCATTTCGGAAGTTTATATTAAATGCTTAATAATCTATTACTAATAACGTGACAAAGAATTGCTCAATTCTTTTAATTTTACTACGAAATTTAGCTGTTTCCCTTAATTTTAACTTTAATCTTTCTGAAAATCCGACCGACATCACAGTGTAGAAACTTTTACCTGTAAACTTTCAATGTATCAACTATTTTTCATCAGTCACTTTACTTAAAAAGTATTAACAATTTTTTACATTTCAGATAATTTTTATGACAGAAGGGATTCCAATAATCCAAGTGAACCCATTACCACTGCCAGAGACAATTCTCAAGCCCTTCGTCAGAACCTAGCCTCCAGTGATGAACAGTTCAAGGCAGCCACTTCTGGTACTAACGTAAAAGTAGAAGTTCATGATAATGTTATCAGAATTATTGGTCACTTTGATACCGCAACTGCTACTCAAGATCTGAAAGCCAAAGATTCTGAAACTGTTTCACGTGATGAGGCTCACGAATATCAGTTGAATGCTATCAATCCAAAAGATAAAAGCTCATGCAGAAGCCTATTCGATAACTGTAATGCGAATAGCTGTCTTTGTGAAAGTGATAGTATTCGATGTGGGGAGCTGAAACCTATTGATGTTTCAAACATGGCACATGGTGTAGTTTATGACAAGAATCAAAATGGGGTAGTTCCGAAAGAACAAGCTATATCCACACAATTCTTTGATAAATATGAAGCTAATAACTATATGAATGGTAGCGAAGTACATCGATACGATACGATTGTTAATGATATGTGTAGTCCTATAAAACAAATTAGAGCACCTAAAGAGGAATATATTGCACCCAAATCTGATATAAACGATAATGCTAATACTACAGAGTTTAGTGAGTTAGAAATTGGCAAGTCGACTCCAAAAGTTCTTTATAATAGAGATGCTGTTGTCACAAAAAGTGTTTTTGAAATTGAGAATTGTGCAATATATGAACCAGTGCTCGATGAAGATTTGCACGCATCAGCCAATCAAGAAAGTGAACTTAACTATAAGAAGGTTGATAACTTAAATATTCCTTGGATTGATGACCCAAAAGATTTTAATATATCTCTTACCAAATCGCATAACGCTCAGAAAATTACAATACAAAGTTGTTTAGATAAAAATAATGCACCGCCCACCGAATCAACTTGTATCGATCATCCTTTTACTTCTGGTAATGACACCAATCCTTTTATGGTTAATACACCAAAAGATATGGTGGTTAGTTTTCCGTTAAAAGATATCTCCAGTTTTGCAAATAAAAGTAAGGGCACCGTATCGACTAACCCATTTAAGGTTGACAATTCCATTTATGATAAATATGTTACTACCAGTTTTTTGGACTCGCCAGCTAAAGATGTCAATATATTACACAATGTAACTGAACCAATTTGTCAATGTACATCCACAGGTTTGATTAATACACATCAGGCTGATAATAACCGTAATGAAAGCGATGTAGTCGATGCTCAGTTAGACTTATTAGTCTATGATGCTAGCACAACAGACGATGGAAGTGCTTACAGCAAAATCAATGCTATGGATCCAATTAATATAAACGTATGTGATCTTTTGATTGATATATCTCAATTTGATAATTACTTTAATGAAGAACGTATTTCTACACAACATAGAAATGCTTATGAAACATCTGAAGTTGGATCTTGTGGATTGCCAACTGATAATTTCGTTGCAAAAGTTTCCAGAGTAGATAATTCTTTAACCAAAACAAGTGAAATTGCTGCCGAGATAAATTCGTTAAATGAACTTGGCAGTGCCATTGATTTGTCTGTATCTACCACTCAGGAAGACACAATCAATTACACAAAGACTGAGGATATAAACATTCCATGGATTGATGAGACAATGCAAATAGAATTCATTGCTGAACAATCATATACAACCATAGAGGTTGGAATATGTAGTCACTCAGATAACAACAAGGAACTTAACATACATTGTAATGAAAGTTTAGAGTTAATTAATCCTTGTCCTGATAGTTTTTCAAATGTAGTAGATGCAGAGCAATATACAAAAGAAAATGTTTTATTGAAGGATATCCCAATGTTATTAGAGAACCGATGTTCTCATGAACAAGACACACATGCAAGCTTGATTGATATGGATGAGACTGTTGACTGCCTTACCCAAAATGAGATTACCAAAAATGTTGAAAATTTTTTTAATGAGACTGTTGGTTGTAGCATATTAAATCCTACAATTGCGAATAAACACGACATAACCACAAAATTAATTGATGTGTATGGCATTGATAATAACCTCAATGAAAGTAGTAAGTACCACATACTAAACTCAACTGAATCTGATATGATTGATTTTTCAAGTCCTGTAAAATTAATAAATACACATAAAATACATAAAGTATCATGTGTCATACCGGTTTCGGAAACAACGAATAATTCCGAGTCTGCTGAGTACTGCGAATTAATAACTGACAACCTGGTTACAGAAGCTACTGATACTTGTATTAAAAAAAGTCTCATTGAATTTACTGCAGAGGAGGAACTGAATTTACGTGCATCTACCATATGCAAAGATACAATCAAAAACGTACAGATTAATAACCTAAACAAACTATCAATTGGTGATATAGAACCACTCAATTCGTCTGCTTTGGAAATGTATATACCTCAGAATGATGCAATAAATAGACAATCAAAAAAAAACGAAAACCTTGACATGATTCGTACTGAGTCTACTGTAGTTAATACGCAACAGCCTGTTATAGCTAATTATATATTAAAGGATATTCGCATTGAAAATGAAATAAAATTAGTGAATGCTAAAAATGCTACAGCAAAAAACTTAAAGGATAGAAACGATATTCCTTATATAAATTAAGGCAATCATTTTTCTGATATTTCAGAAGTAGCGAATATCATACCTGGAAGTTATTAGTTAACTAAAACTGTTAAATAAAATTTAAAGGAACTAGAAGAAAGAATATATCAAATAAAACAATGAACTGGGACAAAATTCGTTTCCGATGTTGGATATATTTTAAATTTAAATAACCACCTCAAAATATTTTAAACACAAATAGTTTTTATATTTTAATTTCTTAGCCTTTTATTAAAATAATTCTTAAATACTGAATCTTTCTTTTTGCATATTAGTCATCGCACTAATTTATCAAGTATTCTTCCATAAATGCGGATCTGGACGTTGAAAGCTATACATTTTTGCCTACCAGACAGCATGCTGGGCTTATTCCAAAAAGGAGTCACAATATACAACCAGTGTTGAAAGCCTATCTGCAATCAAAATAGGTAAATACGAATATTAATATTAGTGTGTCATAAGGCAGTACTCTCGGGAACATATTATATTTGAAATATATATATCAGGCATTCCCACAAGTAATTGTCTTCGTCGCTTTAACTCTTGCCGATGGCAGTGTAATTCTAAGTAATCATAAAAGTGTCTTGAAAGCTGAAAGACAGCTTTTATATCACTTTTGCTGGAAAAATGACTAGTCGTATGCTATATCAAATCAGTGAATGTCACATACACCCTTAAGAGACGTACCTCACCAGCAATTGCAATGAACACGGTTTCAACACTTCAGCAACATCTCCTATTTGGAGATTAACTTAGATGAGTTACATGTTTCTAATACATAAAAAAGAAAGTCCAAATTAACTTTCAAGCTGTTAAAATGGCTTCTTAACATCCAATTGTCTTAAATCTTACAGTATAAACATTATTATCGTTGTCACAAAAATATGATAAAAAACAAGGTTCATCTTTTAGAGATCAAACTTGCTTTTATAGACTCTACACTTAATCCTAAGAAATCACACCGTCCGCCCGAAACAAGAACTTAACGAACTATATTATTTATAACTATTTTCACACAGAATTAAGAAGAACCAAGAAGAACTCATAATAAGTTCTTGAGATTCCAATATAGGAGTTTATTTTTCAATAGGTTGGGACATTGTTAACACTTGAGTTTAGTTTAATGCTTTAACATAAGAAGAGAGATTATAGTTAATAACACTCTTTTTTAAGTAAGCTTAGTGAATTTATCTCTAGTCAATTACATTTGTCGGTAAAGTAGCTCCTATACTGATATATAGTCAATATTTCATGATATTTGAAATTAAAGAAGCATTATAAAGATAATGATTGCAGCACGAAGAACCTTTTTGAGCTCAATTAATAAAAAATCTTTTAGCAGTGTTCACACTGGATAATAATTATACATGTAATTAGTAAATATATCACTTGAAGCCAAGAATTGTACATCCAGAAATATTTTTAAATTAGAATTTCAAATTGAAAAGTTCGAACGAAAAACATTATATATGAATCTTAGATAATAAATTTCACTGTTTTGGTTAAATTAACATTTATAAATAAAAATGAAATTAAAAGCAATAAATTAAACTTAAAATATTTGAATTTACAAGAAAAAACGAATTTAAAGTTTTTCTTTCTTGAAGTTGACTTTTCTTGGAGCTGGCACCGCTGTCTTACTCGTTTAATTCGTTTCAATTCTTTTGAGTATTGAGTGCCATTAAAAACATTTAATGCACTTGGAGTATCAATAACATGAAAGTTCTATTCCGTGAATACCCCTCAACTGTCTATAGCCTCGCCATTGTTCCGTTCGGCTCGGTGCACTGCTCATACCCGTGTTTTCACAGCTGAGACATGCCAGCACTTGTACCGACTAAATCCTCGTAAGCTAAGCACAACACCAGGCGTCGTTACAGCGAAGTAATGTATTCTCACCCACCCGGGGAGCCCCAGTTCGATTTGTTCATTCGAAATTTTGTTTCATTTGCTTCGATAAAATACAATTTAACAGGCATAACAGGCATGTGTATACATTTCTGTATTTATCTATATGTAGTTGTGTAGTGTGCACGTATGCGTGTATCTGTCCTATCAAATGCAATGTTAATTTGAATTTTGCTCTTATAAAATATCGGAATTGCTATAATAATCTTTGCAAATTATTTAGTTTGGCGTATTCGATATGCAAATCGATTTCAAATAAAGATACCCGCAATGGGCTATTTTGCGAGTAAATGATAACCCTTAAAGACTACCCGTATTGTGTAACGAATTAGAGTTATTATAGAATTAAAGATCCTGTGCAAATGTAAAAAGAACATAAAGTTACTCAAGGCCTTTATGCCGCTTCTCTACTAGATTACAAAAAGAGTAAAGATTTAATTAATTATTTTTCATTCTCATATATAGCTTCTAGGTCAGTCAATAGTTCAACTCACTAGAAGTAGTTACATCCCATGTTTAATTAGGATTTGAAAAAAATATTTCAAAAATCATTTTCTAGATTCTCATGCTTCTATGTTTTTCTGTCTATAAGTGTGTTTACTATATGGAATTAATGGACATCTTCTGACAAATGAATTCGAAAAAAGACGAAGACAGTTCTATATCACTAAAGGTTATGGCTTCTATTCCTTTGAAATATATACCAGGCAATACAACAACAAAATAATATTATGCAACACATTTTTATTTTTAGAGGAGCTAATGGGTATCATCATGATAATCTGAAGAGACTCTCTTAAAATAAACTGAAACGGTGATGGACGGCTGAAATATTAAAATTACGGAAAAATACTGCATTTGCTAAAGAGAAGGCATTCCATTAAAACGAATGAGCATATTCATCAGTTAAGTACGTTTAGAAAGTATATATATGATATAGAAGTTCTACATACATGAACATCCAATACCTCCAAAGGCGACAACCTATATCTAGGTTATTAACCGATATAATAGCTGGGTTAAAATCTGAATCAAATATTTTCTCCAATCAATGCAATTAAAAAGGATCTCTGTAGACAGATGGCAGTATTTACTGAATTCTGACCTATTGAAAAGCATAATTGGAAATCCCTTAAAATATTCACTGTCATAGATGCTACCAAAAAGAAATAAATTATTTCCCATTTTCTCTATTCATGTCTTGTTTATAGTTTTCATAGGTAAGTCGCTCTTCAATAGTCTTAGGAAGCTAACTAAAATCTATATTGTTTGAATGTTCTTAAACCGCACAGCATAATTTTACTTTGCTGATTTAATAGACAACCGGACAACTCAAGGAAAGTCTTGTCATTAACCAACCAACTAGCGAACGAAGAGAAATATCTTACTGAGATCGGTGAAGTAAATACATTCGATATGTTGACCCAAGTTCAAAACCATTTTCGAATATTAATTTATACATTTGTGTTAAATTTTATTATTAAAATATATACTTTCTTTCTATTAACTGAAAGTTTTCAGATTTATTGGTCAATAGAAAATTATAAAATTTGGCAAGATTGAAATTAATTTCTGTCTAAGTGGGTTTTGCCATAGTTCTTGCAAAAAACTTTCACTGAACACACACTTTTTTTATTCAGCCAATTAAGTTAATCTTAATCAATTCAGCAATGGGAGGTCAGGAGAGAATTGTTCTTCTTCTTCTTCGTCCACTGTGCGCTAAAATTAAACTAATCAAAATCTGTTAACTTCGTAGTGGCAACCTTAATTATTGTTTAAGTGATCAATGAATTGGCGACCTTAAGCTTTCCTCTTCTTTTCTCGGATTTCCCTTTTTAATATTTTTGTTATATTTTAATCTTTTTTCTTTTATATGTCAATTAAGGGTCAGTTAACTAGTTCATAATGGCGTCAGAAAAACTTTGATGAAGTTGATGTTGACGATGATGATGATGATGTTTGAAAATTTTCCACTTACTCGTAGTTCAACTTACATAATTCGTGTCAAAAAATCTTGAAACGAGTTAGAACGGAAGTAAATGGCGAATGACGAAACTGGATTAGCAAGGCAGCAGGGAATGAAGAGTTGCCGTTAAGTAGTAGCAGTAGTCGAAGTGGTAGTAGTGGTAGCAGTGGAAATTATGAAAGCAGAAGACGAACTGGCCGCACTGAACCAATAAGTTCAAGTTGTATGCTTTATACGCTTGTGCTGGCGGCAATCAAGTTGCCAAGTGAATGTGTCAGGAACACGCCCGAAACGCCATAAATCTTTGTTTCATTTTTGGCACTGTTGATGCCCGAGCCATTGCCGGTATCGCTCGTTGGTGGTAGGAAGGCGGTGTAGATATTAGGTTGGCAGCAGTAGGCATTCGTTGGCCACTAGCTGGCCGCTCACAACCTCATCACTTGCTTCCTTTTCGAATATAATGAATGCGAATGAAGTGTACGGGTACATCGTGTATATATTTTTCATCATAAATCATTATTTTGCAATCACATACGCGGTATAGTTGTGCCTCGAAGTATAAGACACTAACCAGAACGGTAAACTATAGAGCCACTGGACACAGTACATCGTAAGCCTTAAATGTGCAACCCAAAGCTAAAGTTTGGACAGCATTTAATTTTTGGACGAGAAACTCACTCAAGTGGAAGACACACCAATGAATCATATTTTGACCTGCAAGTCATATCGATTGAATTTTAGATGCTCTATTAGAGAAAAATAAAATTGGGAAAAGGTACAAGCAAGTCATAAACAACGACGAGGATTTCTTACTTAAATTATTTAATACGCATCAAAAAATAAAAAAATAAATTGAGGAATGAATTAAATCCACACAAAAAAGGAAAAATAAAGTCGAAGTTTGGCAGACGTTTAAGATTTACACAACTTCACCGATAACGACGACTTCGCAGAGAAAAACTTAAATTGCAATTGCTTAAGCGTATCGCATTATTTGACAAAACTTTGGGAAAGCAATTTGACGTTAGGTGGATAAAATGGCTCAGCTCTGCAACCAGGAGATTGAGGAGGAGGAGGAGGAGGAGGAGATGGAGAAGTACGGGCCAAGGAGAAGAAATTGGAAATCAGCTCGTCGACGAGATTGATTATTTTTATGGTAAATCGTTAATTTTAAACTGTGAAATGTTTCAGTGTGCAATTGTGTGCTTTAATGTCTTAACGTCAACAACTCCCACAGGACAATTTTCGACAATTCGTTTCGTTGGGTAAACTGTTGCTGTGCTCTAGGACCTGGGCTATGAGCTGTGGGCTGTGAGCTGTGAGCTGTGGGCTCCGG